CCTACTGGGAGTGCAGGCTGCTTTGCAGGTGCAATAGCTTAAACATACAGGTTAATTTTTCTCACATAGGTATACCTGAGCTTGCCACCTGAGGAACTCTGCTCAACATTAGGTCCAGCATCTCTGTGATTCTCTTAGAATTTCCCTCAAGGTTACAAAAAGTCTGCTGCAGCTCCAGCCGCTGCAGTAAAGGCAGTGCTGCAGCTCCAAGGCCAGTAAAGGCAATCATTTCTTTTTGTGTGTGTATGTGTTTTTTGAGATAGGGTCTCCCTATGCAGTTCAGCCTGACCTTGAGCTCACTTTGTAGCCCAGGCTGGTCTCAAACTCGCAACGATCCTCCTGCCTCAGCCTCCTGAGTGCTGGGATTACAGGCGTGTGCCACCATGCCCAGCAAGGCAATCATTTTAGCATTAAGAAAGAAAAACCTTCTCTTTAGATCTCATTGGCCATAACCTGACCTTACAGCCAACCCTAGCAACAGACAACAGTATCATCATGATTCTCTTTAATTTGTCAATCAAGAATAGGCATGAGCTTTCCCCCAAACAAAATCAAGGAAGGAGGGAATTGGGTGTGTGGGCTTAGAGTATGTGTGCTGTTCTATAATCTGAATTATATATTACTAGCATTTTCCACACCGAGAGACAGTGACGCAGTCATTCGTCTAGCAGCTCTTCACTGTGGGCACCACCTGCAGAAACGTGGCCGGGTCCTGTGGACCCACACCAGGGCCCCAGCCTCGCAGAGTTCCGTGCTGAGGAAGTCCATCCAAGACAGAAGACAGATGCAAAGAAGGGCACTGTGTTCCACGGGTCGCTGGGGAATGGCTCCCAGCGCCCCAAGTGGCTGTCGGGGTGATTAGCTTGTGTCCTGTGCTGGACAGCGGTTCTTCCCACAGTCTGGCTCTGGTGGTCACCGCCGACACCCACACCCCAGCCTGTCCACTCCCGCTCCGGATCCCCTCCTTCCTCAGATTGCCGGGGCGAGGGGTCTGTCTGCACTCCTCATGCGCAGGCTGCTGCGCTGCTTCCCCAGGCTTCTGTACGGCTGTGCCTTGGTGATGCAGGAAAGACAGCCTGCGAGCCGGGTGTGGTGGCGCACACCTATAAGCCCAGCACTCAGCAGGCTGAGGCAGGAGGATTGTTGTGAGTTCGAGGCCAGCCTAGGCTACAAAGTCAGTTCAAGACCAGCCTGAACTGTATAGTGAGACCCTGTCTCAAAAAGATAAAAAAAGAAAGAGCCCCCTCCCCTCCACCAGTGCCACCTGCTGTCTTTGTCACTGTCATCTTTACAAAGCACTGCTACAGGGGCTGGGGCTATAGCTCAGTGGCATAAGTGCCTGCCTGGCAAGCGCAAGGTCATGAGTTCAATCCCCAGTACCACAAAATTAATTAATTAATTAATTAATTTTAAAATAAAATTAATTAATTTTTTTAAAAAAGCAAAGCACTGCTACGGAGACACACTGATTTCCTTTTGCTTTGTGTCCCCAGTAGCTCCCGAGGCTGATCAGGTTCACATTATCTCTTTTATGGGCTCGCACATCGGCCCCTTGTGCAGATTCCTTTTCTTTTCTGCCTGATTTTCAGCTCGTTAGCTTGCACTCTTTCTGTCTCTGTCTCTGTCTCTGTCCGCTTGTCTCTCTCTCTCTCTCTCTCTCTGTCCCTCTCTCTCTGATGCGTGAGTGTCCATCTCCAGCAGCCCCAGTGTCACAGAGCCCCCTCTAGGAGACTGCAGCTGCTTCTCAGTCAGTCCGACCCCTTGGGGCCTTCCCATGGCCTCTAGGACACCATCCACAGCACACTGGGTTTGGGTCCCCTACTGTCACCCGGTCCTCTCCAGCACCTTCCACACCTGCCCTGAGGTCAGTGCCATCTGCCCTGGGTGGGGCCTCAGAGTTCGGGTGAGCCAGACCCCTGGCCTTCATGCCCATGGGGACCCATGCATCCCTCCTCTGGAAACTTCAAGTGGGCAGCCCCGCCCAGAGCTCTCAGCCACTCCCCAGGTGGGGTCCCATCTGTCCCTACGGCTCACTCGCTGCACTGACCTGCATGTTTTGCACTAATCCCTGGCTGCACATGCCTCTCTGTCCCCAGCGCCCAGTGCAGGCTGTGGCACTGAGCAGAGGCTCTGAGAGCATTTGTAAAATGAATGAATGAATGAAATCTGGCCCTCCCAGCCCCCAGGCTGGTGATCAGTCCCAGAGCTGCTGTTGCGCATCTGCCCCCAGCTTCTCAGTCGCCTTCCGTTTCTCCAGCGTTGCTTCTTCTCCCTTTGCTAAGTCCTGGGGCTAGAAATACCAGTAGGAAGAGGACCCTGTCCTCAGAGGACCTCCCGGCCAGATGGGGACACTGGCACTCACACAGGCAGCCATGGAGGGTGTGCTGGGGACATAGCAATTAGCGCATCTGGGACACACCTGGAGGGCAGGGTGGCACGGGGTGGACTTGGCCCTGGGAGGAGAGCAGAGCTGGTTCAGGCTCAGGGAGCGGGTAGAATTTGAGCTGGGCCTGGAGGGATGGAAGAGGGGATGAAGGTCATCCAAGCAAGGGATCGCCCTGGCAAAGGCAGGATGGCGTGAAGGTCGCACCTCCAGTGAGGTGGCTTTGGGGGAAGTGGTGATGATTCAGCCAGAAGGGCATTGGAGGCTGGGTTTGAGGATCTCAAAGGCCAGGCCAAGCACTCTGACCTTTATCTGGTGGGCAATAGAGAACCTTGCGGGGGTTGGGAGAGAAGTTATGCCTCCCTCTGTACTGGCAGTGCTCCGTGGAACATGCTGCCTGCTTTGCTGTCTTTCTCCTGGTCACACTAGGTTAGAATGGCCAGGCCACTGGGCAGCTCCCGCTAGGAACGAAAGAGCATTGGCTCTGTCTCCTCTCCTCCCTTCCACCTTCTCCAGAGAGATGGGCAAGTTACTTGGCCTCTCTGAGACTCAGTCTCCTGTAAAATGGGCTCAGCACCCCACCTTGCAGATGGCAGGGATGAAATAAAATCAGGTGAGCCCAATGGCGGGTGCCCTGTTCAGTGTCACTCTGTTCGGTGTAGAGGAGACGATGGCTTCAGGAAGCAATGCCAGGCTCAGAGGAACTTCTCCAAGCCCAGCTCACTGCTGTGATGCCCGTCTCTCGGGCCAAGCTTGGTGAGATGCCACCCAGGAAGCCCTGGCACTCAGTAGGTGCCCTCAAACATGGCGGCTGCCTCCCCTAGCTAGGCACACGCATCCTGCCGCTCCTTCCGGGAGGCGCTGCGCCGGAGCCACACGGGGCTTGCTCTTCCCTTTGAAAGAGCCCATTTACCTGTGCTGTCTCTGTGCTGTCGCCTGCAGCCCGCAGCCCGCAGCCCCAGCGCCCAAGAGGCACCTGACCCCAGGCCTGTTCCTCAAGCCTTCTCCCTGGAGAACCACTCGCTGCTGTCCTGTGTCCCAATAGGATGGAGCTGAGCCCTGCTGCAGAGAAGGGGACCTGGGCCCAGAGAGGGAAGGCCAGAGCCTTGCACTGTGGAGTGGCTACAAGTTCCTCTCCAGGACGGCCTGAGAAGTGGGCATGTCAGTGTGGACACTGCGGGTCAGTGAGGGACAGTGGCTTGTCCTGGTTCACACAGCAAGGAGCCAGCAGAGGCTGAGTGTAAGGCCAGGAGTCTCCTACTCAGAGTCTAAGCACTAGAACAAACTGGGTATGAGAGCTGCTGGCCTGTAGGGCCAAGGACCAGGCACGGAGGTGGCATCTTGTCCTCTGCCACCTGATCGCACAGAGAAAAGGGACTGGAGGAAAGACACCTGCCCTGCCCTGCCCACCCATTCCCTGAGGGCCGGCTCCTCTCCAGAGAGTGGAAACTTCCTGAAAGCCATGGGACAAACAGGAACAGAACTTTCCACCCTGGTGCACAGGCCTGGAGCCTGAGGCTGAGCCCCGGAATTCCTGGCTTCTCCAGGGCTGTCAGCACCCCTGCCCTGCACCTCTGGGAGCACCCTGCTCCCCTCCCCTCAGATAGCCTCAGACATCAGAGGTGCTGCTGCTCCCGCAGGGGCCTCGCTGGTGGCAAGGCCAAGGGCAGGAGGACGGTGCAGAGGTCGGGTGTGGGAGCGAGGGAGGGAGGGAGGGAGCTCTGCAGCCCCAGCCTTGGCTGCCCACACCTCCGCAGCCACCAGCGAGCCCCAGGAAGGCCTGAGGAGGGAACAGCACCCAGGGTCTGAGGCAGACCTGGCTGAGCCCAGGCCAGCAGGAACAAGGACCAAGCCACCGAAAGGACCGGCCCCTCCTGGGTGTAAGAAAAAGGCTGCTCCTTTGCCAATCAGAGCTCTAGCTTCTGTCTGGATGCCTTCCCTCTGGACAGAGTTGGTGAGGGTCCCCCATCTGTGATCAGATGCACCCCACTTCCTGACTGCATCTGATCCTCAGCACAGCCCCCTAACCTACCCGGCACAAGCCCAGGTGCAACCACGGGCCCTTTCTCACACCTGCTTTCAGAGGCAGCCCCTACAGGTGCCCCTGCAGCTCCTGCCCCTTGCAGCAAGCACAGGGCCACCTGGCCAATGCAGCTGGGCACCTGCTGGCCCCTGGCTGCAGGGCCCAGGCAGATGGAGCCCTGCAAAGCCCTCTCCCTGTGACCCCTGACAGATGGAGAAACTGAGACCTGGCAAGTTCAAAGGGGGTTAGCCGAGGTCCCCAGAGACGTTGGGGCAGGAGTGTGGTTACTTAATTTGTCATCTGGAGGGGTGGTGTTGACAGTGGCAGGGGCACACACAGCTAAGTGGAGACAGGGCATGAATGGGGACACAGCCTGGGACCAGGTTGGCATCTCCTGCTGGCAGGCCCAGCAGCCAGAGGCTCTTGCCCATGTTGAAGGTCCCTGCACCACAGGGCCACTCACACAGCTGCCCGGAGTCATGCCATGGTGGCAGCTGCTCCCTCGGGCAGGGCCGACGGTGCCAACCAGGCACGGTGCCGCATTTGTCCTGCCCCAAGGGACAGTGGTGTTTGCCAGTGAATAAAAGTGACCTCTTTCAGTGTTGAAGATGTTTTTATTTTAGTTATGATGTTGGTGGCCCCTCTGATGTGGGTCACAGGTGTCCCTGCCTTGACCAGCAGAGCGAGGAGCATCTATACCTCACCTGGGCACCACCCAGGTATGAGCAGGGACCTGCTTCCGCGTCACAGTGCAGACAGACGTGCCTGTCGTTCCCGTCACAGCAGAGGTAGAAAGGCCCAGAGAGAAGAGTATATCCTGGGGGCACCGCCCGTCCAACTGAGCTCAAGTATCTTCTTCCCTGAGCCCAGAACCCCAACCTCTACCCAGGCCCTGCCCAGGCGACATCCCTCACTCCCAGGTGGCCCAAGGCAAAGCTCGGAGCATGTGCACCTGGCCTGAGGTAGCACCGGGCTCCCTCCTCTGAGTGCGCGCCTGTGCTTGGGGTGGGCCTGGGGCTCTGCAGAGGTCAGCAGCAACAGCTGCTCCTGCAGGCGCCAAGGTTCTGCCGCTGCCTTCGCTGGCCCTGTCGCTCTGCTCCCCTGGATGTCAGTTTCTTAATCTCTGCTCCCGCTGCGCCTCGGCTCCAGGCTCTCTAACGTGCAAGGAAGCAGCGCGCTAGAGTGTGAGTGCACTGATGTCGAGAACCATCTCCGGGGCTCCCGTCTCTTTCCCCCAGGGTCCCAGCTGAGCACCTGACATACAGCAGACACTCAGTGATGCCCTGATACAAATGGAATTAAGCCCTTAGCTTGATGTCACCTCACCCGTGCCAGGGTCAGCGCACTTGGCAGGTGTGCTGGCATTGTCTGAGGTTGTTGCCTGCCCTGAGACTGCATGAGAAAGCCAGGATGCCACCCAGAGCAGGAGGCAGGCAGGGGGCCACAGAGGGAATGTCCAGCTCAGAGGGACCCAGAGGAGCAGGCACCAGCTCCCTGCAAGAGTTGTGACATCAGGAGCAGCACGCGGGGGAGGGCAGATCCCCTCTGCGGAGGAGCCAAGGCTAGCCTGGGGGACACAAACTCAGGCAAAGGCCTGGGCTGTAGGATGGGGCCGGAGGTCGGAGGTCGGCAGGGCCAGCCACACAAGGTCGTGGATCCCAGCACAGAAGCAGCAGGAGCCCTGGGCCAGGAGGGACCCAGGCAGCCCTGGTGAAATGGACCACTCCATGGAGCGGGCGCCAGGAGCTGACGTGGAGGATCTGGGCACAGAGAGCAATATAAGGCCAGCTTTAGCGGGTGGAAAAGGCTTTTGAGGACCTGGCTGCTGTAAATATTCAACACATCACATTTTGCCTTCAAAGGTTTGTCAGAGAAAAGGAGCGATGGTCCAGATAGCAAACAACCCTCCCCGAGGTTCCCTCACAGCCCCTGTGATACCCTCAGCACCCCCCTCCACCTCCTTTAACCCTCCACATAGTCCCCTTTTGCAGAAACTGAGACCCGGTGAGTTCAAAGGGGGTTAGCAGTGGTCCCAGCCGGGAACTAGGAAGCAGTTCCATTCTAGCCCTGGGCATCAGGCTCAAAGCCTAGTTCCTTGTCCGGAAGGGGGTCACCAGGGGTGTCGGGCAGCCCATAATACAAGTCCTCCTCTTCCTCCTCAGGCTCCTCCACGCCTGTGTCCGAGGTCTCGTCGTCCTTCCTCCTCGGGTGCCGCTGCCATCTACTGAGCAGGACTACCTCTTGCCTCTGCCCCTCTCGGGGTGCATCCTCCAGTGTGGGGGTGTCATCGATCAGGGCAAAGTCCTGGAAGTGGTCCAATGGGCTCCTGCAGGCCTTGGGCTCCTGCTGTGGGGGCTGGGGCGCCTCTCTGTCAGGCAGAGATGGGTTGGGGCTGCTGCCGTCACTCAAGCCCATGTCTAGGTCATCTTGGAAGGAAGCCAAGGGTGCACGGCCCTGGGGATAGCCCGGAGGGCTGCAGGGGCAAAGAGCGCGAGGTCGAGGGTAGCTCTGGTCAGACTGTGGGGTCCAGGTCCCAGCCACTAGCTGCAAAGCCTGGGGGAGGCAAGTTCACCTGGCTGGGCCTCAGTTTCCTAACCAGGCCACTCACCCACTTGCCCAGGCATTCAGGGTTCTCCCCATCACATGAGGGTCCCCCCTGTTCCCTGGCAGCCTCCCCCAAGGGCCCGGGAGCTCCTGAAGGCTGGAAGCCAGTCCGGGCCTGGCAGGGAGTTGGTGCCCAGGAACAAAGATGGAATGAATAAGAAAATGGGGGAACGCTCGCTCCGCTCACAAGCAATCAGGGACGGGATGGGAGTGAGTGGGGCCTGACACCCAAGGTCATGGAGCAGGCTGGTGGCTCAGCTAGCACGGGAACTTCAGTCCTCTGGCTCCTGGACCCCTGCTACTTGTGACAAGTAAGCGCCCACTGTGCTCCGGGCACTTCCACACATGGTCCCAGTCCTCACATCAGCCCTGTGCAGGGGTGACTGCTCCCACTGGGGAAACAGCAGCCTAGGAACTCACCACATTCACACGGCCGAAGAGCTGCCTGACCCCCAGCCCATCCTCCTTCATCAGCTCCACCTGTGGCCTCTGAGCGTCCATCCTCTCACTCCCCAGTGTCCTACCCACCCTCGGCAACCCCCTCCTGTTCCCTGGCCAGGGTCAGGCAGCACCCACCCTGCTCCAGGCAACCACCCGGCTCCACGCACTCACCTGGGGCTGCTCCGAGTCGGGGTCTTCTTTCCCTCACTCTCGTCCAAGCCTCTGTGGACGACCACAGGTGCTTCCACCCGGGCCTGAGCTTCACAAGGGCCACCTGCTCCACCGTCCCTGGTCCTCAGCTCCAGCTCGGGGGCCAGCAGAGGGTGGGAGTCGCCCCCGTAGCCTGTGGCCTTTGCGTGGCTATGGCTGAAGTCGGGCAGGCTCTGGTCATAGGCGGCCTCCTCCCACAGCCTGGCATAGGGGGGCTGGGGGCTGGGCCCAGGGTGGGAGAGAAGGAGCAATGGTCACACAGCAGGCCCGGCTCTCCCTGGGCCTGTGGTCTTCCCTGGTCTCACCGAGCCTTCAGATGGATGCTGCTGTACCCATTTCATGAGGAGGCCGTGGCCCAGTGGGGTGAGAAACTGAGGCAGAGCTCCAGTGAGCCCAGGCTGACTCCCACCCGCGCTCCCTTCATGCTAGGGGAAACAAGCAGCAGCCAGGAGCCTGCTGGCTGTGACCTCATGTCTGCACTCAGCAGCGCCTGAGGCCGGCCTGGGCTCCTGCTGCAGGGCTCCCCATCTGTCAAGTCCCTCAAATCCATGCAACCCCCCACCCACTCTGTGAGGAATCCCAGGCCCAGGGGCTGACCCAGGCTTTTACAGCGGTGACAGGGGTGCAAGGTGCTGGTGCTGGTGCTGGTGATGGCCCCAGGCATCCTGTTCTGTCACTGTGCTCAGACTCTGGGTCCCTGCCCAGAGCCACAGGCCTGGGAGGTGAGAAGAAATATCCCCGGAGCCGGGTGACCCGACCCTGGGTCAGAAGCCCACGTGCTCAGAGGGTTGTGCCCAAGCTGAGCAACGCCAGGCCAGGCGACTGTGGCCATGTCAGGCCAGAACTCAGGCCCCATCTCCACCCCACTCCTCACCAGATTTGGGGCTTGGGACTGAGTTCCTCTGAGGCTCAGTTTCCACATCTATAAAATGGGCTTAAGAAGGCTTCGCTCATAAAAGAGAGTTCAGAACAACCCATGTTAATATCGCATCCTCAGGAGGGCGGAAGGCAGGGCTGGAACCAGGGTGAGCGTGTGTGGTAGACATTCAGCCTGTCCCTCCTCTCCCTGCTTGGTGGGAGTTTCCTCCCTGTGGCTGGCCACCTGCGCCTGCACTTACCTCTTCATTTCTGTGGCGAGCCCATTCTCCAGCAGGGCCTTTGGGGACAGGATGCCTTGGAAGTCAGAGTCAGCGGGCACAAAAGCGACCTGCGGCCACAGGGGAAGTGGCCTCTCTGCAGCTGTCCCTGGCTGCTGCTCATCCCGGTTGTGAGCAGCGTGCAGGGCAGGCAGGGAGGAGCTGCACAGAGCAGTCCCAGGCGGAGGGACGCCAGGCCCCCACTCCCACCCTGGCTCTCTGCCATTCACCCGAGCAGGTACATGGAGCTTCTGGCTCCCTTCCGGGCACCTGGGGCAGCAGTGAGTGGACTCGACCTTCCTGGCCGAACTTGCACCTCATCAGTGCCCGGGCTCTGTCTAGGCCCAGCCCACGGCCGCCCATGGGCCGGGGCGCTTCACCCGCATCCAGTGAGTGCATGGTAAGCAGACTGCTGCCCTGTGCTTCCAGACACGAGTTTGGGTGGGGACAGAGAAGTGGACGGCTGTGGGTGCACCCACCCGTCCCAGTCCCTGCAGCTTCCAGGATCCAGTCACCTGTGTGTCCCACTCCCACGGGTGGGCCTGGGGGTGTGCAGGAGGCAGGCGATGAGGGGGGCTGTGGGATGGGGTCCAAGGCACCTTTGGGGTGGAGGACTCAGGGCAGGCTGCCTCTTCAGTTGGGTCCTCACCGAGGCCCCTGGCAGTTGCCGCCTCCCCCAGCTGGCCTGGAAAATTGGGTGCCCCTGCCACCTGTGCTCAGGGCAGCATTACACGCAGCACCGTCAGCAGAGGAGCCCAGGTGCCTGCTGACAGAGATGGCCCAACCAACACGGTACGTGCACCAGGAAACCCAACTCAGCCTTCGAAAGTGGGGCATCCGCACACGTGCCGCCACACAGATCACACTGTGCCACAAAATAAGCCATGACTGCAGGATAAGTGCTGGAAGATTCCACATCGTGAGGCGCCGAGTGGCCAGAGCCACACAGGAGGAAGGAGAACGGCAATTTCCAGGGGCCGAGGGAAGGAGGCTGGGGAGATGTTGTTCAGTGGTCTGGGGCGGGACAGCGAAGCTTTCAGAGACGAGCGCCCCAAACTGCAATTCAAAACCCACCATTGATCGCCAAGTGCCGACCCTGTGATTAAACCTGCACCCTGAGGTTTGAGTTTAGAAAAATAACTCATACAACTCAAGACATTATCACAAGAGAGGGCTCTCAACGCCCTATGCAGCGGCCCTCACTGGCCAAGGGTTTTGGTTTCGGGCAGTGAAAAGCATCCTGAGGTGAGCGCGCCCTGCCCTGAAATCTCTCAGTGCCATAGAACCAAACGCTTCACCATGGGCAAGACAGGAAGTTTATGTTTGTTCTGGCAAAAATGAAACCCATTCATCCGCATAACCAAAAAAAGTGAAACATCCGTGTTGCATATTTTACTGCAATTTTTAAGCTCCTCCAAGCTACGCCTGTCCTCTGGGGTCACTTTGAGGATTCTGGGAGATGATCTAGAAAGGACATGCCAGGCTGCTGCCCATCAGCCACGACTTGGGAACTGCGGGAGGTCAAGCCTCCCGACTCCCCCAAATCTTGGTCTCCTCAGTGAAAATGTTTTCAAAAGGTACTTGGTGAGAACTTACTGCGTCAAAGCTGGCTCACAAACAGCACTCCGCCTTCCCGCCCAGAGGGCAGTGAGTAGAACACACGTCTGCCCCAGGAAAGCTCCATCCCAACGGGGAGAATGGGACGATGGGTAGAGGGGCTCCCAGACTCCCAGGAGGGTGAGCTTCCCCTAGACATCTGGAAGCAAGGCAGGGCCAGGGTATCCTCCGTGCCTGGGAAGGGTGCCCTGTAGCCAGCTGGTTCTGTGCTTCTTAGAAGCAGCCTCTTCTTCCTTATTACCTCATGGCTCAATCACGGTCACCATCCCCAGCTGCAAGACCCCACCCCCATCACCAAGATCACTTTCATCACCACCATGCTCACCATCACCACCATCACCACCATCATCACCTCCATCACCATCACCAGCACCACCTCCATCACCTCTATCACCATCACCACCATGCCCATCCGCATCACCTCCATCACCACCACCATCACCTCTCTCACTCCCATCCCCTCCAACCCCATTCCCACCCCTCATCACACCACCAACCCCCATCTCTTTTTTTTTTTTTTTTTCCAGTACCAGGCATCGAACTCATGACCCTGCGCTTGCCAGGCAGCCGCTGTGCTGCTGAGCTAAATCCCCAGACCCCAACCCCCATCTCAATATGATGAAATGCTGGTGGAGGAGGAAATGCATCTTAGAACACGGTCCTTGCTCTAAGGTGGAGGCCAGGCAGAGTTGAAGCAGGAGAGGGGAGGTCAGACCACAGAGAGCCCCTAATCTCAAACTAGAGAGCTCAGCCTTTTCCAGAAGCAGTGGGGTCCCGGGCACTCCCGGCAGAAGATCCCTAGGCCGGTCTGTGTCTAAAGCACTGAGCAGGGCCCAGGGGAGGAGGCGCCCTATTCACCTCTGTGAAGCTTGTTCCCTACCTGGCTCCCACTGGAGGCAGCTTATGGTGGGGGAGGCTCACCAGCCCTGGACACACTCACAACAGGGACAATTGAATTCACATTGCTATCGGCTCCCTCGTCCTCCTGTCCTATTAGCGAGGCTGGTTCCCTTGCAGGTACCTAGCTTGCAACCCAAACAGCTTCCATTCACTCAGGCTTTCGATGGGTGGGGACTGGGAGTCCAGGTGACTGAACCTGGGCAGATGTAGTGGGCAGGGCCAGCAGCCATGCTGGACCCAGACCTGGGGAGAAGAGGGAGGCTGTGTGGACTCAGGGGGCCTTGCTGTGCCGTGTCCTCAGTTACAGCTCTCTCTGCTCCTGCCCTTATCAGGGGGAACCTCGCCGGGCCTGGACTCACACATACACGTGCAAACACACACATACACGCACATACCCACACACCACCATGTGCCAACTCCAGCAGTGCCTTCAGTTCTGCTCTGTGCCAGGCATGGTGCCAGGTCACCCCCGCCTGCCCAGGACCCCACTGGGCCATGCAAGGCACAAGGCTGGGTCTCCCTCTACCAAGGTCCCAGGAGTGGCTGCAAGTACAGGGGTATGGGGAGGTGTGGGCCCCCCCACGGGCTCCGAAGAGCACGGCCAAGAGGATCTATCAACAGTTACTCATTAATACCCCGCGGAGCCTGCGGCACTGCCGTCACTGCTCAGCACCGAGCCAGCTCCTGTGGGAGGGGTGCAGGAGGGACGCCTCCCCACCCCAGGCGGGCCTGCACACTGGAGGAGGGCGTGACGTGGGTGTGTGGTACCACCGTGGAGGCCGTGACGTGGTGGCTTCCCCCAGGCCCTCTCCCCCGTGACCTCTGTCCAGCGCCACCAAACAGAGTTGACTGTAAACGGTGGGGCGGTGTGGTGGGAGTGGGGAATGGCCACAAACCAGTGCAGACCGCCCCGGCTCAGGCACAGCGACAGCCCGGGGCACCGCGGAGGGGGCAGGGCCTCTCCTCTCCTCTGACGCCTCAGCATAGCGGCTGGAGAGGAGGGGTGCCCTGGCCTGGAGGGCCAGACACGAGATTCAGCAAGGCCTTCAGAGGACCCCATCCACTCCATCTCCTCACTCACACTTCGCACAGCTGAGGAAACTGAGGCTCAGAGAGGGAAAGGGCTGCAGCAGTCTCCCCGGCAGGTAGAGACAAAAGCCAAGTTTGACACATGGTTCTCTGCTTTGCTCCCAGAGTCTGTCTTTGACCAGCTGTGTGACCTTGGGAGAGGCACCCAACCTCTCCAGGCATGGGAGATTTACACCGCCTGATGTGTCCATTCAACAGCACTGCTGCCAGGCTCAGAGCAGAAGCTGCAGCAGCCCCTTCCCTAAATACCGCGCTCTGCTGCGCACACATTCCCATAGCCAGCTCCTCCCCACCATCAGGAGCCGTGGTGCGCCTGTGCAGCCAGAGACTCGGGGCCCGTTTTCCTGATGAAACACTGAGGCTCAGAAAGACAAAGGTCACCTAGAGTTTGGCAGAGAGCCAGAACCAGAACATAGAACTTCTAAGCCAGTGCTTCCCATCATGTACCCTTCACAAGGCCAGGAACACACCAGAATCAAGAATATTAAATGTATCCAGAGCTCATATGCCATGCGGGTGAGACCTGACCCTCCCTGGACCTCCCAGAGCTCCTGGGCACAGGGCTAAGGACCCGGGGTAGAGGGCGGCCCAGCTGAGCTCCAGTACAAGCTCTGCCACTCAGCTGGGGGACCTCATCTGCCAGAATCTCAGGCTTTCCACTGTGAAATGGAACTACAGACAGCAGCAAAAAGCCTGAGTGTGGCAGAGCACACCTGTAATCCCAGCTACTCAGGAGGCTGAGGCAGGAGGATCAAAAGTTCCCGGCCAGCCTGAACAACTTAGCAGGATCCTGTCCCAAAATAAAATAAAAAAGGCTGGGGGTGTAGCTCACTGGTAGAGCACCTAACGTGCAAATCTTTGGGTTTGCTCCCCAACACCAGAATTTAAAAAGTGTTGAAAGCTCAGCTGAGGGCAGCATGGCCTGTGGTGAATGCAGGAACGCCTGGCAGCTGCTCAGCGGGCGGTAACTTTGATGGAGCACATGGATTGGGGCTCAGCGTCTCCCCAATGTCTGGCTCAGGGCTCAGGACCCAGGGGCCTCTAATCAACCCTGTGGCGAGAGATGTTTGGACAGGTGAATGGGGCCTATGGGGGGCAGAGAAGAAACCAGGGAGTCAAGGTAGGAAAGGGGAGAGATGGTTAAAGGACGGGGGCTTTGTTGCCACGCAGCGGCACAGACCCTGGCCCTCCTGCCCCAGGCATGCCCTGCCCACCACGGCCTACCTTGGGGTAGCACTGGCACAGGCTCCAAATGACGCCCCCAATCACCATGACGCTGCCCATGGCATAGAAGGTGCCGTAGACCTGGGGCCGATCGTGGCTCATGAGGAACGTGCCGAGGGACAGCAGGAAGAGCCCCAACACGATGAAGCCGATGCGGAAGGTCTTCTCATCAGCCATGGCTGCCTGGCCGGCCAGGCCTGCACACCCCACAGAGACGGCCCGCGTAAACCAGGGAGGATGAGCTCCAGGATCGCTGCAAATTGAGGCTGCCAGTCAAAGGCAGGGCGGGGTGGCACAGAGTCCTGTGCCCAGGCTGGGCAGCTCCTCGGTCCGAGAGGGCTCACTTCAGAGCCGGTGCACCCAGCACCCTCCGCCGCTCTGCACCTCTCACCTTCCCTCTGGGCACAGCCAGCCCGAGCGTGAGTGTGAATCGGAGCGGCAGCCAGGAGGGAGGGGGCAGGCCCAGGGGCTGGGCGGCAGCCAAGGCTTTGACATCACCTCATTTGCCTAGTGCGGGCTGAGTGGTGGACAGCAGGTGCCACACCACAGGAAGCAAGGCTGGAAGGCCCCTGGAGGAGTCCCAGAGCCTGGGCGCCAGCTGTGTTTTAAAATCCCCTCTCCTAGGTTATGTGCCATCGGGGTCGGCAGTGGCGACTGCCTTAGACATGCTATGGCTGTCAGCACGGTCAAGGGAAGGATGCGAAGCAGGTGCCAAGATTCCCACTTTACAGACAAGGTCACTGAGGCACAGGCCAGTGACTTGCCCAAGGTCACAAGCTGGAAATGGCAGAGTTCAGGGCCAGAGGTTGTGCGCCCAGCTACAGTGTGGTCCTGCCTGGTGACCACACAGGTGCAGAGCCCAGGTTCTGCAGCCAGGAGGACACAGGTGTGGATTCTGGACCCTGCTGTAGGCAGTAGACAGCTGCCTGTGCCTCAGTTTTCTCCTCTGTACCATGGGGATGACGGTCCCTCCCAGCACGGCAGCCGTCTTGTCTGCCCCCATCTACTCTGTGCCCTATCCAGACCTGCGTGTAACGAGCTGTACCCACTCCAGTGGCCAGGGCGCGCTAACACACACTGGGTGTGAATATCCAGGCTGGGAAGAGCCTCGGTTCTTGGGGTTCCTGTGGGTCCCTCACCTCACTCGCAGGCATGACCCCCTTCACTCGTCCCACCCCGTCCCCCTGCAGGGTGGGCAGGCTTTGCGGGACAGTCTGCAGAGGGCCAAGTTCAGGGTCGCCCGCAGGTCTGATCAACCCCAGGCAGCTGGCCTCAAGGATGTCATCAGCGGCCCCACCCAGGTCTGAAAGAGGGAAGTGACCGAGGAGGGAAAGCACTGATTCTTCACGGTGCAGCCTTCCAGAGAGACAAGGTCACCGTCACTGTAAGAGTCTCGGGTCCAAGGTCACCGGGATGCTGGCAGGGTGGTGCACACCTGCAATCCCGGCCCTCTGGAGCCTGAAGCACGGGAATCTCAAGTTTAAAGCCAGCCTGAACAACTCGGTAAGGAAATCCTGTCTCGACCTAAAAAATAAACAAGGGCTGGGGATGCATGTGGTGTGACTTAAAAAATACAGTGAGCGTTTAATTTTTTTAAATTATTAATTGCAAGCTACTGTAGCTTTCCACAGACACGGTGTGTGCGTACTTTTATCCCCTTTTTTTGTTTATTCAGCCCAACCTTGCTCGCAGAGCCAGCTTCGCTCCCACTCTTCACTTTTACTTTCTTGAATAAACTGTCACTGCTTTCTTTTTGAAAAAAAAAAATTATTTATTGGAGTAAATGGCATTGCCATTCATCTCTCTCAGAACATCACACTCATCCTCTCCTTCTTGCCACTCTCTGAAGTCCCCGGAGCCCTGGAAATCCTCTTTTGCGGCTGTCTTTTCGTGGTTGCCTCAATGTCCTGAGCCGATTCAGAGGTCTGCAGCAGTTTCTGTCCACTAAACCCAAGGCGTCTCGTCCTCCTCACTCACCGGACCTGGCGTTGGCGACTTGGGCTCTTCCCGAGTCACAGCAACGGGGAAACGTACACTTAAACCTCATTGCATCCTTGATCGCATCCGGGGCTGAGTGTGGCAGCCCTGGTCATCCTCAGTCGGGCGCCAGGAGGAGGGCGGAGGGACGAGGCGCGCCCTGGGGACAAGACGCTGGGCCCGGGAGCTCCTGCGCCCCTGCTGGCGGCCGTGAGCGCCCCGCGGTCCGCCGGGTCCGCAGCCCCCAGGGCGGGGCGGGGTTGTCACCTCGGTCGCGGTGAGGCGAGGACACCGAGCCCCGGGCCGGGCGGACCAACACCTGTGACAGGGTCCCGTCCTGACCTTATCTCGACCCTGCCCGCGAGCGACCACGCGGGCAGCAGGGCTCCCTGGCAAGGGCGCCTGGACCCGGTCACACCCGCGGGGGCGCGGAGGCCGCGAGGGGACATGCGCGTGACAGAGGCAGAAACCACGGCCAGAGGAAGGAGCTGCAGGCACGGCTGGACTGTGCAGGTCCTCGGGCTCGGGGCCGCGCTCGCCCTGCAGCCCGCAGCCCCCGCGGGAGGACTCGCAGGGTGATGCGCGGGGCAGGGGCGCGGGGACGCCGCGGACGGGACCGGCTCCGGGGGAGAGAGAGGGCGTTGTGCGAGGCTGGAGATGCGACCGAGGTCAGGCCGTGCACAGGCGGCCGCGCCCTCCTCCCCATCGGCGCTTCTTCCAGGCAGCGACTGGTGCCAGGCGCCCCAGCCCGGCCTCCTCGCCGCCCTCCCCTCTCTGCTTCGTCCCCGCACAGGGCAACGCAGTCTCAGCCGGGCTTCCAGGCGCACCCCTGTGACCCAGCACTCTGGGAAGCTCAGGCAGGAGGATCTCAAGTTTGAGCACAGCCAGGGCATCTTAGAAACTTAGCAAGACCCTGACTCAAAATACAAGCATTAAAAAGGGCTGGGGATGCAGCTCAGTGCGGAAAGCCCTGGGTTCAAGTCTCAGTACTGAGGAAAAAAAAATAAAGGCCAGCTGCTTCTTGGACCCTTCCTGCTCATCAGCTGGTCTGAGCCCCGAGGTCTCTCCCCCTCCCTGGCTTCTGCTTCCCTCCTTGACCCTGAAACCTCTTTCTAACCCTAGTACTGGGTCCCCTCTCCGCTCAGAACGATGACAGCTCCCTGCCTTCCCGGAGTAGAGGGCAGAGGCTCACTGGTCCTCTGGGCGCATCCCTCACTCTCCTTGGACTTCCCTGGCTCTGCACTGTTCCTGGAATGCAGGGGCACCCCAGGCTCTTTGCACCTGCTGCTCATTCTGCTGGGCTGCTCTTCCTTCGCATATCTGCGTAGCTGCCTCCCTCACCTCCCCTATGTCTTCCTCCACATTCACTGTGTATGTTGGCCATGTATCCAGGAGCGAAGGGGTGGAGCATCAGGAGCAGGCCAGGGGAGACTGAAGGATGAGGAGGAAGCCTCCTGGATCACATGCAGGTGTCTGGCATGGGTCACAAATGATGGGGTGCTTTATAGCAGCTATGCAGGGGAGACAGAAGCATCTATAATTTTTTTTTTTTGAGACAAAGTTTCTTTATGTAGTCCAGGCTGGCCTTGAACTCACTTTGTAGCCCTGGCTGGCCTCAAACTCACAGAGATCCTCCTGCCTCAGTCTCCTGAGTGCTGGGATCACAGGTGTGCACCACCACGCCCAGCTCACATTTAATTTTTCGTGAGGGAGAGGCAGATCCAGCTGCAGAAGGGTGAGGAGCCCAGCCAGGCCCAAGGACAGCACAGTCTCTGACCTCGCTGTTCCATGGGGACAGCTCACACAGTCTGTCTAACGCAGGTCTGCAAGGGGACAGCGGCAGAAGGCCCAGTGCATGGCAGGCTGCTGGGGCACCGACTCATCCTTACCCAGTTGGCTGAACCCAGGCCTCGGACCCCTGCTTGCTGTGGGACCCCAGCAAGTTTGCGTAGCCACACTGGACTCATTTTCTCATCTGAAACAGGCGTGGTGGAGACGCAGGGTGGCAGAGTGTTACTGGACCGGTAGCACGCTCCTCTCAGGGGAGAGCGCAGAGGCAGTGAGCTCTCTGTCACTGCACTTGGCACCTGGTGGAGAAGGCCACCTGTACTAACACCTGGGGACCACAGCACTCAGCCCCCGGCCCACGGCAAAGACAAGGATCTGTCGTGAGCCACGCTGGTGGTGACCCCACAGGGTCCCCTGTGGTCATCTTGCTCACCCTCCTCTCAGACTGTGAAGTGAGGCCAGGCCCCCTGCAAGTCCCAATTCCATTTTGTGGGTGAGGAAACTGAGGCAGAAAGAGACAAGCCTCTGTGCAGGGTCACCAGGATGGCACGCTGGTCCTGCTCCCTGGTCTGAGTTCGGAATTTGTGAACTTGGGCCAGCTCCCGCTGGCCCTGGCCTTACAGTGGGGACAGGTGGGTGGGACACCCTCCAGAGGGTTAGGATGCACCTCTGGGCCCTCAGCCGCTTCCAAGGCCAGGCCACAGGGCTCCGTGCAGGTGGCACGGGGATGGGGATCCTTACTTCAGAGGTGGGGGCTGCTGCCGTCAGCTGCACACATTGGTGGTGGTCCAGGGAGCATGGCGAGGAGCGAATCCTGACAGGGCGTGGGAGTGGGGCGCAGGCCCTGCAGCCTGTGGCTCTGGCCGCTGTCCTCTGTGTGGCCTCGCTTCCTCTTCTGCACGTGGCAACGGTGCTTCTTCCCCAGACCCTGTAGGACAGCTGGCTCGGAGGACACAGGAGGCATGCAGGCCTGGGAGGGGCAGGCTGGGCACCACATTTCAGGGGAAGGGTTAAGAACAGATGTCCAAAGAGGCTGGGGAGAAACCAATCCTAGGAAACCATGTTGAGAAACAAACTCAATGCAGCTGTCTCCACCCCAGCCCCTGCCATGCCTCGTCCACACCAGCAGATGTTGACTTTCTCTGGGTACCTACTGTGTGCAGGCCCTGGGCTAGCCCTCACCACTGCGCTCTGGAGGGAGTCCCCTGGGGCAGGGGTGGGCTGAGCAGAGACTGGGGCCAGGCTGCCCTGGAGGTGATAGCAGTAGCCAGGTCAGAGAGCCGCTGAGGGATTAGGGTGAACAGACGCCACGCTCTCAGCCCCGCGCTGGCGTGCGGAAGCTCCTGAGGGGCCGTGGTCATCCTTGCCATGGCTCCTGTTTAACTTCAGATGAGGAAGCTGAGGCCTGGGTCGGGAGTCCCTCGGCAAGTGGTGACGGAACCAGGAGAGGATCCCTGAGGTGGGACTCCTTCCTCCCCTGGGGCCTTTAACACCTCCGCTGACCTCTGCTGCCCGCTCCTCCTGGGAGCCTTCCTGTACTTCCCTGCACCCTGCAGGGCCACACCTTCTCTCACACAGCTCTAACTCCCCCGGTTCCTCATCTGCTGCTGTCACAGGGCTTGTCCTCTGGGCAGGACCCAGCCCAGAGGAGGACTCTCCTAAGAGTTTACTG